AGCAGCGTCCTGACGCGCGAGTTGCACAAACGGCGAAGCCTGCTTAGACGAAGCAAACTTGCCAGTACCGAACGAAGCCGTACCCAACGAGGTAGGCGATAGCGAAGCGGCGACAGGCGAACGAGACGAACGAGCCGGAAGCGGAGGCTCGCAACTGGGAACGGGGCAGTCTTGCACACAGGACGTGCTAACGCCAACAGATGTGCCCAACTGTTCACAAAACTTAGCCCCCCCAGGATTCTCGCCGCAGTTCTTGAGGAACCAATCCTCAAGCCACTCGAAACTCGGAAAGAATCCACCCTGCATAACTACAGCCGAGTGTAAAGCCAAGCGAAGACAACGGGGTCCAGCGCTGCGATGAAAGCAACCGCGACGTCCTCTGATTGTATTGGCAGCCCGCATCGCTGGAGTTCATTTTGGATTGCTATTTTCTGTAAATTCCAACCCTGCGCCAGGGTCACTTGCTGCTTTTCAAGAGAATCCGGAGACATTTCCAGCAACTTGTCGAAACGCGGGTACGTAGGCGCCTTCTCCGTAAGCGACAAAGAAGAAGCGCGATTAATGACTTGAACAACAGCATTGTCGCGGTCGGCAATGGCCGCGACAGGGTCAGCAGCAGACATGAGATACGACGGCGGAAGCGAAGTAGGCTAGGATCGAGAAGTCTCGATACCAATGTTACGATCGAGCCTATTTAAGAAGCTTTCCACTTGTGTGGTGGGACCGAAAGACCCCTAGTGATGAGGTGGTGAGCCGTCTTATCGACCGGTCACCGACGGAAGTACGGCAAAGTGCATCAGATTAGGTGAAGGCCCTATGGCGAAGGCCAAACTACACCGACGAACGATAACGAATAGGCGAATGAGAGTAATGTAACAGCTCATGCTCGTTACAAATTGCGTTCAAGTGCGTTCGCGTTCAAGTGCGCTTGAATTCGGGGGCGTTCGGGTGCGTTCGGGTGCATTCGGGCGTGTTCGGGTACGTTCGGACGTGTTCGGTGTTCGGGTACGTTCGGACGTGTTCGGGCGCGTTCGCGCGCGTTCAGGCGCGTTAGGGTGCGTCCGGGTGCGTTCGAGCGCGTTCGGGTGCGTTCGGGTGTGTGTGTGTTCGGCGAAAAACGTGCTTGCGGACCCTATCCTACACCACCTCACCGAACGCTCCACGGGGAACTACGACCCCCCTCGCGGGCGGCAAGCCCGCGTCTAGTTGCCCCTGAATGACAAAATGCCGACAGGGGATGCCTCGGTGTGAGCCCTTGTATCCCCCAGACAGGCAGATGGCTGGCAGAGGTTAAGGCCTGACTTCTGCTCTCGGAGTGTCCGGGTTCAATCCGCCTGCCAACCCCCCGATGAATGAGGGATGATGAATGGGGAGGTGGCCCCCTATCATGTGGACGGTGTAGGAGGTGACTACAATAACTTGCGGGCTGACCAGGAACTAAGTTGAAGCGCCATTGATCCGCTAGATGTGGTTGGATGCTGGTGGTGAGTTGGTGAACCCAATGTATACATTCTGAAGTCGGATGGGGTAAATGGATTAGGGTGCCCCTCCCGCAGGGAAGAGCAGGGAACTGCCTCGGGAAAGGGGGCCGCTGGTGAAGCAATGTAACAAAATACTTACAACAATAGTACGACAAGTCGGGTGTCGGCTTCCTCGAAGCCGGAAAAAGGGCGAGGCCCCCCTGCATCCGTACAGGCCGGTAGCTAGGCACGTGTGACAATTGATGGGTAGTGTCAACATGGTGGGAGATGTGCTTGTTGAAGCAGTGCTGATGGCGTGGGAGCTAAGCTTGCACCGGCGGAATCGTCAGCACCGCCTGCGGGCTCCACGCGAATCGCATCCATCCCGGGTGCATGCCGCATGGACAGTGCGGCAGACCGCAAGTCGGAATGCCCGTGCGGGCAAATGGTAATGCAAGCTGGGTGAAGTCCGGTGCTGTCTGTAATGTTTCTCCGAAGCGCCAGCGTCCTCAGCAATCCGCCCCACAGCCGCGAGCTTCATCGCGGCACACCGCAAGTCTCCGGAGGCCCCGAGCATTGGCTAAAGTAAATGTACAAACGAGCGGCTTGCGTATTTTACAGAGAAATGAAAGCAAATTCGTCGGCCTGCTGGTGGCAAGTCGGAATGCCCGTGCGTGCAAATGGTAACACGAGCTGCGTGTTCGAGTTATCATACAACGTCATCTCAGAATTCAATTATGAGATACGCGGCACCTTTTGAGATTAAATTTAGCCCGAGAGGCGTTCATGTGACTTTGACCTTCGTCAATGGAGGCAGCCAAACTTGTGCTCATACGATTTTTGTTGGCTACAGGCGATATACCTTGCAATATAGAATGCAATATATTACCAATAACGCGATTCAGCCGGCCGAGATATTATGTTTGGTCCGTTACACACGGCCACACGGCCACACGGACATGGGCAAAATCCTACAGGTCGGGGGCCCCCTGGGCGCTTCGCGCTGGGGCCCCGCCCCCAAAAAGGTTCGTACATTGAAGGTGTTGCACCTCAGTGAGGCCCTGTACATCAACCGTGCGCACCAAATTCCAAGTAGACGACATAGCAATGAAACACGTACGGCAACACCTACAGTGTCAAACCCACCCAGCATCTTCATGGTGAATCGACCTCATAGGCCGCGTCGTTATCAATTTTTACCGGCTCCTGTTGTGCAATGGCACTTGTGACAGCTATGTTTGTCGGAAGGCTCGGGGGCTGGGCAAAGCTGCTTTGCTCTAAGCCGTCGCCGTTTATTCCTCTTTGCTTTGGCAATGCTCTTCTTAATGGGGTCCTCGACCTTATTGAGCGAGTGAAGTTGGTAAGGCAAAGCTATTGTTTGTATTCACCTAACGAACAGAGCCCATTTCGCTTGCTAATTGTCTATCTCATGAAGCATTGCTTTGCTGTAGGGCTGGGTAGTATATGCCGTACAAACTGGTATGGTGCTGGGCCGTCGGGAAGGTCGCCGGGATTGCGTGAAGTTGATGGCGCTATGTGGCGCGAGTCACCCCGGGACCTTCCCTAACTCGTCGGGCGCTTCCGGTGAGGGCGCTTCAGCCACGGCGAAATGCTCCCCAGGGAAATTCGTTTGGGGAGATTCTCATGCCTAGGCTCCCCAAAGGGAGAGAGCCCCGGTACAAAGGGCCTTCCCCAACGGCAGAGGTCCCCACGGCTTGGGGACGCAGCCATAGCTGTCCCTTTGGTTGCTGACAAGCACAGTAGCAGCATGGACTTTTTCAAAGAAACAGAGGCTCGCTGGCACCCTAAACGAACAATGCACAGATGGCTGGTGGCAGACCTGGTGCCAGGCTTACAGGCACATGTGCAGTTCCTTGGCATATGTTCTCACGGTTGCTCACACCATTCACGCTTGCGCCCCAAGACCCATGCCCCTCCCCCACGGCCAACCTGCTCAGACCGTGCACGCCTTCACCTTTCCACCAGACTGGAGGCGTGCTGCCTGCCCGTGCCTCCAGCACCATCAGCACAGCAGCAGATGTTACACTGTGGCTCTATCGGTGACTGACCGTGACATGCAATGGGGCATCGGCATTGGGGCCTCGTGGATTGCATCACATATTGCGCATACCTTCAATGGACCCAACACCGATGTGCTGTCTGTGGCATCAAGGTTCCTGTTCACGCCCCTCATAACGAATTCGGCATTCTGGGCAGCACTTGCTGCTATCGCACCCTTGGATCTCCAAACATGCCCTGCCCGCTCCCCCAACCCCAATCCCGTCCCCCCCAGCCCCGCCCCCGGCCCCAGCCCCATCCGGATACCCACCCCTGCCACTGCCCCCGCCCCCATGCCTACTCGCACCCCGTCAGCCACTGCCACCCCCAGCGCCACTACCTCCAACACCCAGCCCACCACCCGCGGATGACAGCGATTATTCTGGCGGCTCCCAAACGAGATGGCACCAAAACACTTCCAGGCAGCGACGCGCACGGCAGGCCCGGACCGAGGAACAACGTCAGGCCATCCGGGCACAAAATGCCGCACGGCAGCGAGCAGCACGGCAGCGCAGGACTGAGGAGCAGCTCCAACACGAACGACAGCAGAACGCTGCACAGCACAAGGCTGCACGTGCTGCCCACACTGCACAGGTACGCGAGAACGTAGCACGGGTATAGGTGCACGGCAGGCAGCCAGGCTGGTTACCCTCCTTGCGCTCGGCATTAAGCATGCTGCACCCCTTAACGCTATCCCTGTAGGAGCACGACAATGCCCGCCAGCAGAACATGCTCCAACACCGCCTGTGGTGACCCAAGAGGTACGTACTGGCCGCATATTGTCCAGCCACTGTAGGAGTTTGTTTCGGAGAACATTCAAGTAGATAACATTCCCTCCAATTCGGTCCGGCGCGCGGTTCGTGGGTGATGCAAGCAGGCTTGACTCCGTTCGAAAGGTGCGCCATGAGTTTCTTCATTTAAGTTGATGAACACATTCCATTTAAATCCCTGAGTTCCTTTCTAGGCTTTGCACTGGTCCCTTTCAGCATAAATGTTTCATCGTAGTTGGCAAACATTTCACTGACATAGAAGTCGCTGTGCGCCTCTGCAACAGGCCCATCCTCAGCGTATTACATGGTATGGGTCTGTGGTGAGAGGTATGGCCATAAGATGAAGGACTAGGGAAGGTTGCATTTGCGTGGGGAAGGGCGCACCTTGGTCTGCAGTAATCTGTGGCCATTTCAGCATAAATGTTTTCTATGTATACTAAAGGGTGCTACCCAAAATAATTGCAAAAAGAACTGAGGCTTGGGCGGCCAACTCGGCAATCGCCACTAACTTCGGGCCGCGAACAGAATTCATGGCACCTTCACATTCAGGTAGATAATAGAATTATATGGCCATAATTGCTTTGCCCAGCAGGCGAAGTTTCAGCGTTTGCGGATCAGGCCAACGGCTTCGTACGCTAAACGGAGCCAGGCGCCTCCGGCGGACTTGCCACAGATGGCCACCAATTTTGGTACGCCGAGGCTAAAGTAGAGGGTTACGTAGAGTGCTCAGCCATGGCTTGGTCTGTAACTAGTTTGCTTGGTCGCAGCGTCATAAAACAGATCGAGGGAGTGAATTTTTGTGGTCTCCAATGGACAGCTGTACTCCTGCGCAGCTTTGTGGGCTTTGACAAGTAAGGGGTCTGAAGTTGTTTTCTGTTGAAATGCGGACTGATGGCGGAATCGGCGTGAACGTGCGCGCAGCCAACTGCTTTACAAGCAGGTCAACCGCACTTCTGCGTGGCGTTCACTCTGTTATGATATAAATTCACGCACTAAGCCCCACCTGAACGTGGGGACAATAGGACACGTCGATCATGGCAAGACGACGCTTACAGCTGCCATAACCAAGGTGCGTTTCCAGCTGAGCTGGTAACATTGCTGATCGCAACATATGAAAGTTAAATTGCGTGGTCTGTAAATGCGGTTATCCCGTCGACTGAGGGCTGGTCAAATGTTTACTGACACGATACTACCATCGGCTTTAGGACCATTGATGCCAGTCTTGGGCATGTTGTTTTCGTAGACCGAGGCGTCTTTGGGGAGGCGGAGGTCTTAGAGAGGTGCGCGCTGCTGGGTAGCGGCGCACGACGTGCAGGTGGTGGACAAGGGGTCCCAGGGTGTGTCGGTGCGATCCGGCGGAAGTGTGGTAGGACTGTCTTGCTTGCGTCTGAGGCAGCGCGTTGTTAAGGGAAGGTGCCTCCAAATAGACGTTCTACACATCCTTCGTCTAGACGGCAAACCTACCTTGAAATGGATAGGGTAGTGGATATTGCTTTAAATTAGATGGTATATAGACATCCCTTCATCTTACAGAGGCGGGTTGCATAAACGTTGCAGATACTCTCCCTCGACTTCGGCGGAAAGGAAATAACGTGACGGTAAACAGAACTGAACGACATGGACATTAGTGCCGTAGCAGGCACTAACTATAAACGGGCCATACTGCGTCCTTGAGGAATGTTCCAGTCGTTCTCAGCCAGTTGAGCATCCCGGGCCACGGAGGCAGCTGCTGCACGGGCTTGCATGCATCTTACACGGCGGGCTGACTTTCTTACGACCATATCAAGCGCGCATTGCTGAACAGCGACTGATCGGACAGGTCAGCTAGTTGAACAGTAATGCGCGTTGGTGTACAGTGGCTTACGGCTTGCACTGAGGGCGGCAGCGGTTGACCATCAGTGTTCGGAGGGTTAATTGACTGGTGTCTGGGGTATGAGGTCTGCTGGCACGGGGACGGTTGTGAAAGCGAAGGGGTGGGGTTAGGCGCATATGGCTGCAGCGAGCTAAGGGATGCAGTGCAGGTGGTTAGTTGGGAGGAAACGTTTAGATGTTGTTGCGGACGGTACGGGGGCGGCCAGGGAGGAGGCGGAAGCGATGGCGACGTCGTTGGGATGTTGGGCAGTGGGGATGGGGGAGGGCGGCATTGATGGGGAGGGCACGGCCGGTGGCGGTGGGGGCTTGAGCGCTTACATGGGCGGCACAGGCGGACCGGGTGCTGGGCAGTGACTGAGAGGAGGAGGATGGGGAAAGGGAACGGGAGGCGGGTGGCCTTGAGGTAGGGCAGGGATGGTGAGACCGAGAGGGGGGAAGAGGGACAGTTGGAATGGGCGGTGGTGGGGCGGGTGGGCAAACGGCTGTAGCTTGTGGGGCAGGGGAGGCTGGATGTTGTGACGGTCAAGGATTGCGTTGAGGGCCGCTTGGAATGCGGACTTAGCAGCAGCTGCAATGAAGGTCCAATTTTCCTCCAATGGGACCGAGGGCGTGGCGTCGATGGAAGATTATCCGGAGTGACTCTCCAGAGCAGGCGCACGAGAGCAGGAACGATGGTAGTGTGGCTCATGAAGGGGTTGTCGTGTTAATGGTCCGGCCTCCGATGCCAAATGGAAGAGTCTAGGCCATCAACAGGCCTGCGCACAGCCGATGGCATGCACCGGTCGAGAGCAAATATTGTGATAATAACCTGTCTAGTCCGCTCTTGTATGAAGCAGGCTTAAAAGGATTCCTGCTAACAAGAAATGCAAACTTTCGCTGTCTGCGTGTACCATTGATATTGATATTAACAATCCATCTTAGCCCATTGCGCTCCGTTATTCACTTCCCCGGTGCTATCCTGCAGGTGCTTTCGGAAACTAACGGGTCCACAAAGGCTGTTTCTTACGATCAAATTGACAAGGTAATACTTCGTGAGTGATACCCCTAGAGTGCGTGCATGACCCTACATCTGTGTGTAGTAGCCGGCCGCTGAAAGACCTCTCACGATGCTGACAGAGCGCTTTAGAGCATTTATGTAGACGATGTGTGTGCCGTCCTGCACGACAGCTACCACACTGAGCCGTATACCCATCTGGTTTATGGGTGACTGGTTAATTATATTCGCCCGATTTGCCAGTGCTGAATGGCTCTAGTGCATTTACGGTGATTGCATGCTTCGTCTAGAAAATTACACACACCCGCGACAGTGTTTACTTTAGAGGTTTACTTGCCGCTGGTTCCCATGACTGTTTGGTTCTTGTGCCCAGGCACCCGAGGAGAAGGCTCGGGGTATTACAATTAATTCCACTCACGGTGAGGGATGGAGTTTATGCTCTTTTTGTTGCCAAATTACACATGGTTAGGAGTTATATCGAGTAAGCGATGCGTTTTCTTGTTAGTATGGACTTCAGCTTGGTGCTAATTCGGAAAGATATTTGCGACTTGGTCATGTCTATAATAATGGATACTGTTAAGCAGATCCCAAACACTGTAGGGGCCAAAGGCCAACCGCGTAACTGGCTACCGAGTAGAGACACACCTGTGAACAGTGTTAGGAAGGGTAACCCTTATCTAACGGGGCCACGGTACTGATGAAAAAGATCGCTTGAGTGGAGACAGCTGACTCAGGCCATACCTGTTAGACGCTAACAACCACGGACAACTCAGCCCTGCTCAACTGGAAGTCTTGGCTGCACACGAGAAGCCCATCAACCGGCAGCCAAGTTCTGCTTGGGAGGATAAGGAAAAGAAAACTCTAGCTTGTTAATGTTGATGAACTGATGAGTAATTTTATATATTGTTCTGCTTTTAATATTTTACTTCGGGTTTAAAAGAAGTTTGTGAAAGAGATTTAGTTGCATAATCAAAATTGTAGCTTAGATGCGGCAGGAGCAAAGCGAGTATAGCCTCTAAGCTAGGTTATGTACGGCAGCCGTATGGCTTGCTGAGAATTCGAATTTACTATTTCAGCTGACAGCTCCATAGTTCCGGCATTCTGCCTACACTATTGGAGCTTATTATTATTGTTGCTCTCACAGTAGTGTAAGGCCCTTGGCAGCCCCGGTTTCGCCTCGCCCTGTCCTATCCGACACCCCGAACGCAACTGTACAGCAAGCCATGAAGGCTATAGGACATAACCCGTTTTTTGCTGTCCTAGAAACTCAACCGTTTTTACAGTGATGCCTCAACCAGAAAGAAAGGCTGCACGGGATGCCCGATGCGAGCAACGTCGCAATACTAGGGATTATGAATGCAACCTACCACCATGGACTGAAGCAAGTTCAGTTCAAAAACACCCAAATAACAAGCTTGTCAAAGTTAAATATCCTCAAGTACGGGTTTAAATTGTCAATATAAATGGCTATGACGCGTCCTGCAATGGACGGAGTTTCAGCAGCAAATGCGGCCGCGCTCTGACAGTTCGCAGGACCAATAGCTCCCGCAATCTCCAGCAAGCATGCCCCTAAGTCAGAGCGAATCAATATACAATGAGAGAAAAATTGACTCTTGGTGGGATTAGGCCGGCGTCTGTTGAATGCTCGGGCATTACAGGCTTGCCTCCTACCCTGGACACCACCGTGTTGCCTTCCATTCTCAATCTTCCACCAGGACGCCTGTGCCGGCAGCACACCGTATCCGGTCCGTGGCTTCGCCTACCACGCCTTACATAATGGTCTCGCGCGGGCTGCATTTCCACTACGTGACGCTCTGCGCTCAAGCCAACGGTTTCACATGGAAGCTGTCAATGGTGTGCAGAAAAAACTACTGAGGCTGAAGCGGGCGTGAAAGCGAGGCACAGCTGCCGAGGGCCTTAACATAGCAGACCGAAGAGAGTCGCTTAGAGCAGGGCTCAGGCAGGGCGCGACAGAATTAAAGAAACAAACAACCTAAACCTACGAGAACCACGACACAGGACAAGGTGGGGTCACGAGCCGCTTGCTAATGTTTCCAGGACCCGAAGCTGTCTCAGCAGCGATGTTTGCATGGAAGGCCGATATAATAGCTGCCGTGTAGTAATACATTGCCTGTTGCTAGCATCTTGAGGCGCCTTTTTCAGCGGCCCGCTACTACACCCGTTAGACTATTGAGCGGACATGCCCATGCCGCCGGGAACTCCATCCCCAAAGGTTTGGTGGGGCGGCGGCAACAGGGACTGTCATTGCAGTGGGTAGAACCCATCAATTCCGACAGTGGAGCGGCTGAAGCCGCCGTGAAGGCCAAAGTGGCCAAAGGGCCTGCCGGTGGGGTTTTCGCAGGTGGCGCCATCGGAAAACTGGTCAACAACTGGAACCACAACCTAGACAGCGGCCAGAATACGCCGGTGGCGCTGACTCTAATGGCTTTGGGAAGCTACAGAATTAGTAGGTAATTGATCAGGTTACGGTTTAGTAGATGAATCATGACATCTCGGCCATTTGGTTCTGGGCCGGAGTATCATGGCTCCTCTTGAGCGATAGCCATGCCTGAGGCCATGCATTATGGCAGCGGCCTGATCGCGTTAGCCCCCGTAACATCCGTCCGAACCGTCTGTTGGGGATTTACGTCTGGAATGTGGGGGAAAAATACAGTGCGAAGGTGGCTGGGTGCTTCCCCAACAGGTCGGAAAGGCCCAGAAAATGAATGTTGTTGTTCGTGAGGAGTGTTCTACAGTGATTACATCCATGTACGCTGGGGGCTTTCATCATATAACAATGTCTCGCGATGCTCTCCTGTTGGAGGTGGGGCCGGCTTCGGTGATTGGCGCATGGTCTTACACAGACTTCCAGTGCCTATCAGGGCCCGTTTGCAGGGCCGTGATTTGCTGTAGGCATTTACCACGCATCTGTCTTGCATATTCAATTTTGTTTTTGAGAAGTGAAAGAACTACCAGAGAGAAGAAAACTTCTGTCGGCTGAAGCTCTTACTGTGACAAACTCGAAGCAGGAAAGTGGAAGCCGTTTATATCTCCGGTTTTTGGGCGGGGCCCCAGCGCAAAGCCCCAAGGGGCCCCCGCCCTGTAGGATTGGCCATGTCCGTGTGTGTGTGTGCGTGTGTAACGGACCAAACACAATATCTCGCCCGGCTGAAACGCGTTATTGGTATTATATTGCATTCTCTATTGCAAGGTATCTCGCCTGTAGCCAACAAAAATTGTATGAGCATAAACAAGTTTGGCTGCCTCCATTGACGAAGGTCAAAGTCATCTCAAAAGGTGCCGCGTATCTCGTAATTGAATTCTGAAATGACGATGTATGATAAGTCGAACACGCAGCTTGTGTTACCATTTGCTCGCACGGGCATTCCGACTTGCCACCAGCAGGCCGACAAAATTGCTTTCATTTCTCTATGAAATACGGAAGCTGTTTGTAAACTACTTTGGCCAATGCTCGGGGCCTCCAAAGACTTGCAGTGTGCCGCGATGAAGCTCGCGGCTGTGGGGCGGATTGCTTAGGCCGCTGGCGCTTCGGGGATAAACATCACAGACAGTACCGGAAAGTGCTGAGGGCTTTGGGGAGGTGTGTCGAGCTAGGCTTTGAGGGGTGCGCCAAGGGCGCGTGAGCAGGCGCCCGAATGGGCAGGCCAATGCCTGAAGGGGCGCAGTAGGCAGTGCGTACAGTGCTGTGCGGCGCTGTTTTCCGTTCGGGCTGCGGCACCAGACCGCAAAGCCAACAGGCTGAAGGCTGGCAAGCTGAGATTGTGTCTGCTGAGTGTTGAGCATCCGGCCTGGACCGCGGACTTGGCGGCCGAGCCCCTGCTGTGTGCCGGTAACGGCACCTCAGACGCATACTTTTACGCCCAAGCAAGGGGCTGTCGGTGGCAGGTCGCGGACCTCCAGACTGCGTGTAACGGCCAATGACTCTTAGCCGTGTCTGCTAGATTCCAGAGAGACACCGTCTCTTCAACAGGTTATGAGCCCCGGCTTCCTGCCTCCCGCGCTCTGACAAGCATACCTCCCACAGCATCAGCACTGCTGCAACAAGCACAGCTCCCACCACGTTGACACTACCCATCAATTGTCACACTTGCCGCCCTAGCTACCGGCCTGTACGGATGCAGGGGGGCCCCGCCCTTTTTCCGCTTCGAGGAAGCCGACACAGCTTGTCAATGGCCGAGTACGAACTTTAACCATCCTAACGCTGTCACACTTAACCAGAATTAGAAACGCACGTTGCAGGCTTCCCCCAAATCATTACACTTAGGACATATGCAGACGCATGTGGCAAAAGACCGGAAGGTATGGATGTGGTGTACGGGTTGCAGTTGGCTATGCTGGATTTGTGGTGCCTTGCAGTCGAATACCAGACCACCAATCGCCACTATGCTCACGTGGATTGCCCGGGCCATGCGGATTACGTGAAGAACATGATTACGGGAGCTGCACAGGTATGTTCGTCATATTAATGTCGGGCTAATGATAATACATCGATTAAGGAGCTCGTAAGCTTGTTGCAGGAACGACGGAGTGGAGAGTTGTTTAAATGGCGCCGGGTGAAAGGGATTGCGGTGCTGTGTATGAACCTCGAGGTTGAGACCTTGCCAGGCCGCGGTGCCTAAGGATTGCCTTGCAAGCCAGGGCTCCTTCCTGCAGGCTGCCACTTCCGACGCTATGTTGTGGCGCCGGAACTCATCATGTTATAACCTGCACCACATATGGTTTTCCACTTTATTCTTGGACAGATGGATGGCGCCATTCTGGTGGTGTCGGCAGCGGACGGGCCCATGCCGCAGACTCGTGAGCACATTCTCTTGGCGAAGCAGGTGGGGGCCGTGGCTCAACTTGTCCACGTGAAGCTTCCTGGTCTATGGGGGTTTCCACGCTTAGAGGGCCCTGTACGAAAAGCAAGAATGTATGTTCCGACGTGTGAATCAAACTTTTGCATGCTCCCACCTTCGCTTCATGTTTCAGTTTCCTTTGCAGGAACAGATTTCACTTCGCATTCTCTGCTGCTTAAGCAAACTATACAGTAGCGATGGTAGCGATAGTCCCTTCTGCCGTATTTGTTGGCCAACCAATTTGGTTTTCGACTGGCGTCTGCAAGGTATTATTTAATCCTTAATTCACAGGACAAGCATCGTTTGCAAGGAAACTTTGGCTACAGGTCCATTCACTATATTAGGACTGGATTATCAATTAGTTTTCATCTTCATCACCAGATGCGTTGCATCCTTAGGAAACTCTGAGCCGGCCCTGGCGGCTTGTCTTTGTGCCCGGCAGGTCGGAGTGCCCCGCATTGTGGTATTCCTCAACAAATGCGATGTGGTTGAAGACAAGGAGCTCCAGGTGGGCAGTGGGATGCAGGAGGGAAAGGCGTGGCGTTGCAGTGGATTAGGTGGGGCTGGTAGTTGCGCTGGAGTGGCTGGCGGCGGCCAATCTGTGCACCCATGGTGCAAGCGTCATCATTTGGGTGGATTATATAAAGCTCGCCAATGGTAGGGCTTGCGGGAGAGTGGTACATGGACCTGTGGAAGTTCGTAAGAGGCACTGTCCTGATGGATGATGAGGATCTTGCCTGGAATAGCTGCCGTATAGGTTTAAGAGGAAGTGCACCGCAGCACATGTGCAAAGTGCCTGTCCACATACACCACGGTTCAAGGCTTGATTCCTAGCTACTTTTCACCCACTTGCACATTGTTTTCTGCAAAGTCTCCGTTACGCGCAAAGCACACCACTGCCCCACCGGGGCGGTAATAAACAAAGCAGAGGTAAAGGGAATAGACTTAACGACAAAGGACAGCAAAAACGGCTTCACGAATAGGCCGTAAAGTCCAAAGCCAGCACGTTCACTAGCGCTACGATGCTCTCCGATAAGTAACAAACACAGACGCCTCACGACTCAAAAGGAGCTCACCCGCGCCAGAACCACGCAACGCTTCTCCGTCGTACATTGCAGAAAGCCCATTTTTTCGCAAAATCAGAAAATTTAAACGTTCCTGGACTCCCCACTAGGTATGCATGCCTATATGCCTTTTTACTTTCCAAATGGGGTGCCCTGCCTCAGGAGCTGGTGGAAATGGAGGTCCGGGAGCTGCTCAACTTTTACAAGTAGGTAACCTTTGAACTTGCTTCGGTGCTGGCTGTGGCATTTGCCATGCCGCATCTGATGGGGTTCCATGCAAAATTGTGCCGTGGCTGGAAGGCGTGGTTGGGGTTGCATTAGGCCACATTCGGCGCCGACTGCTCCGCCTTCTTTCCTCAGCATCCAAGTGGTGCCCATGTTTGTGGAGATTGGCATCGTCCCCTGTGGATAGGGTATTAAACCTCTGTAGAGGACGCAACGTCAGACCGTCCTGCTCCCTCTGTGTCCCAAGGTTTCCTGGGGATGAGGTCCCTGTCATCCGGGGGTCAGCCCTTAGTGCATTGAAGGGCGAAAGGGCCGACACTGTGGGCAAGAACTCCATTATGAAGCTCATGCAGGTAAGTGTTACAGCGTGACGGGATGCCGCTTTTGGAGGATATAAATCGGCTTCTTGGGGCTAACTAACGTCTCGAGGAAGCTTGTTGCAAAAGCAGTCGCCAAGCAGCCACCGGTACTACTACTTAGCAGTGCTGCTGTTTCCGCTGCTTTCCGTTACACAGGCTGTTGACGAGTACATCACCGTCCCGCCGCGTGTCACGGACAAGCCCTTTCAAATGCCTGTGGAAGACATCTTCTCAATTGCTGGTCGTGGTACTGTCCTCACTGGGCGTATAGAGCAAGGTGTGGCGGGGTTTTCGGGTAATGAGTGGGAGGCCTGAGCACAAATTGGGATAGCAGGATGGCTACAACTGAAGCTCGACTGCCGAAGCGCCGTCCGGATGAGTTTATTGTCCTCGGATTTGGTTCAAGCTAGTTTGCAATCAATATGCGGTGGCTAGCCAGGAGGCATTGAGGGGTCCAGCAAAACTATCAGGCTTTAGGGTTGGACAGATAAGGTTTTGGGATTTGGTGCTGTAGTTATTTACCAACTGCACTCAGCCCATCAAGTTCATCAACACGCAAACCTGCCCGACGCCCATAGGTCCCTACAGGAAATTATTACTACCGTATAACCCTTTCGTGGAAATGGTGCCAATTTATTGGGGATCTAGGTATCCCCAAGCCAAAAACTTCCTCTCCAAAATAATTGATGTTAAGGGCGTGTCGTCCTTTTAGGTCAGCATATCGTCGTCAGCATATCGTCCTAGCAACCCCGCGCCTTCATGGGATATGACGCCGTTTTTGGGCGAGGCCCGGCCGCGAAGCGCCTTTCATTTCGTGGGCCCGGGGCCCCCTGGGTTCACTGCTGGCAGTCAGTCAGTCAGCGTCGTGCGTGTCTCATGATACACTCGAATGCCACGCTTCACTAAGGATTGCGTTCATAGCTATTGCAATTCTCTGTCGAGTTTCTGAAGGAATTAATTCACATACACAACGACACAGGAATTATTAACCGATAAGAAAAGGCTAGACCTTCTGCCTCTGTAGTTTGCTACATCTGTGCGCGATGGCTTTCCGCGGCCCATGGCGTTGACCTCCCCCACCGCTCGCGGCCTCGCACCGCTAAAGTGCATGGCATCTAAAAACTACTACAATTTTTTTCTCGACCACCAAAAGATTCATATACATCTGTGCGCAAAATTAGCTTTCCTTGGCCCATGGCTTTGGTTCCCAAGGCGCCCCCGGACTCAAAGCGCATCCTCAACGCGCCATCTCAAATCTCATACCAACCACAACCGTCAGCAGTAATGAAATATACGCCGTTCAGCTCTGTCACTCTCCGCAATTCCAGCCCATTCATGCCAACTGCTCCAGCGCTTCCCTCCTTGCATTCTGCTCCATCACGAGCTGCACATGTCATACATGTCCTATCCTCCAGTTCGACTGGCAATGGGCTGGCTTCGCGCTCTACCAGGAAGCTATAGATGCTCAGCCGTTCTTGTTGAGATGGCGGCGGCATGCAATGCACCGTCCAGGACCTTATGGATCCGCATTCGCTCCAAAACCGCCGGCCCTCGCAGTATCCATAACAATGAACGTATAATCCAAACACGACCCCGTTCCTCAGCTTGCAGCCCAGTGCTGTACAGCCTTTCCTATGGAATGCTGCGGGGTTAATGGCTGCACTGGGGCCGAGCCCTTTTCGGCTTCGAAGGAGCACTAACCTAGTCTCTCAAATTATTTTGTAAATGTTAGCGTACTGTGTCAGTGAGGTTTCTCTATCAGCCTGAAGTTGCAAATCCTGTCATAGGGCCAAACATCCCAGCACCCTCTGTCGACAACAAATTTTCGCTTACATCTAAAGAATTCTAAGCCTCGGCTTACATCTAAATAATTATAAGCCGCATGGAGGAATTTAGGCAATAATAAGTTTTTCGTCACGGTCAGGTGGCCGTCTTAGGATCTGGCGGCTAGTCAACTGCATAAGACGGCAAAAGTTACTCCTCATGTATTTACGGTTATAATTATCCGACGACTTTAACCCTTATCATTCAGCGTCTATTTGGGAAGCGGCATGTAACGCTTATTCCCTGCTGTCGCTTTAGCTCAGCTTTTGTGGCATTTAAGTCTGGGCGCGACAAGCGTTAAGTGCCTGGAATAAAGGGTAGATTTGCACATTTACAGTCCGATTGACTGTTGCAGGTCGCGAAATGCCAAAGGAGCTAGAGAACTGTTGTAGATGTTAGTGGTTAAGAGGAATCTCGTTTCGCAGAGATTTTTGGAGAATTCCCGGAGCAAGCCTATCGACTTAACTGAGATTACAGTGAATATGTTGCTGCGAGATACTTGGTAAGGCGGTTGTATGGTCTCAGGACGGGCACTACCTGCAGGCTTCATGTAGAGTATCAAGGTGTTCTGTATCTACTCTCTTGGAAGAGCTCCTCTCCAGGGATTATATCTTTATCCCTACCGCTAGGAGAGCCGAAACCGACTTCTGTGTATGACTGTACTCTCATTTCTGGCGCCCGCCAGGGGCGTAGATAGTCAATCTCAACCTCTTTCCACGGGCGTAACTAATTTGTTAGTTGTAAGACTTCTTATGTACTACTTAATACATTATCTTATGTCTTGATCAGGATGGTCCACTCGTGATTTCCACATAAACCATTTTGCCAACGGTCAACATTCTGGGACTCAGCTGACGTCTCGCTGATATTCGTAATGTAAATCCTACGACAGAATCTGACCAGATCGCGATGCTGTCCACAACCAAACACTGTATATGCCACGGGGGTCCACGAAGAGATCTGTTGTTAACTGCAGCTAGGCTGCACCCATTTTGGGGCGGGGCCCCAGCGCGAAGCGCCCAGGGGGGCCCCGACCTGTAGGATTGCCCATGTCCGCGTGTGTGTGTTCGTGTGTGTGTAACGGACCAAACATAATATCTCGCCCGGCTGAAACGCGTTATAGGCACTATATAGCATTCTCTATCGCAAGGTATCTCGCCTGTAGCCAACAAAAATCGTATGAGCACAAACATGTTTGGCTGCCTCAATTGACCGAGGTCAAAGTCACATCAACGCCTCGGGCTAAATTTAATCTCAAAAGGTACCGCGTATCTCATATTTGAATTCTTAGGTGACGGCGTATGATGACTCGAACTCCCAGGCCTTGAGTGTGTAACGGACCAAACATAATATTTCACCCGCTTGAAACGCGCTATCGGTACTATATAGCATTCTCTATTGCATGGTATCTCTCATGTATCTAACAAAGATCGTATGAGCACAAACAAGTTTAGCTGCCTCCATTCACCGACCTCCGTCACATCAACGCCTCTCGCGCTAAATTTCATCCCGAAAGCTGCCGCGTATCTCATAATGGAATTCTGAGATGACGGCGTATGATAACTCGAACACCCAGCTTGTGTTACCGTTTGCCAGCATGGGCAATCCGACTTGCCACCAGCAGGCCAACAAATTGGCTTTCATTTCTATATGAAATACACAAGCTGCTTGTTTGTACATTTACTTTGGCCAATGCACGGGGCCTCCGAAGACTTGCGGTGTGCCGCGATGAAGCTCGCGGCTGTGGGGCGGATTGCTTAGGCCGCTGGCGCTTCGGGGATAAACATCATAGACAGCACCGAACTTCACTCAGCTTGCATTAGCAATTTGCCCGCACGGGCATTCCGACTTGCGGTCTGCCGCACTGTCCATGCGGCATGCACCCGGGATGGATGCGATTCGCGATTCGCGTGGAGCTCGCAGGCGGTGCTGACGATTCCGCCCAAGCTTAGCTTCCACACCATCAGCACTGCTGCAACAAAGCACATCTCCCACCGCGTTGACACTACCCATCAATTGTCACACGTGCCGTGCTAGCTATCGGCCTGTACGGATGCAGGGGTCCCGCCCTTTTTTCCGGCTTCGAGGAAGCCGACACCCGACTTGTCACTAGCACAATCCGCAGGTGAAGACAACTGCTTGCTTGTAATGCACACACCTTTCGAGGTTTCGAATACATTCCCACTGCAGACAAACAAGTCGAGATAGCTGTCCTCCACAACCACCTTGCTAAGAGTTTAAATTTAGGATCACATGTGGCCCTCCCACAATGCTCGCTCTCCCTATCACCCAGCATCTCGCTACCAAGCGGCCACGCGCTATAAGAAAGGCTTGGTGAATCCTGCGAAGGCAGAATTTTTCCTGGTAATTAAAAGGTTCCGACAACTATCTCGCCCTATCTCCTTTTGCATCCATTTGCATTGCAAGTGCTGCTGTCATGCCGTGGCAAGGGAAAGTGTGGAGTACAATGAACCCGCCCATTTTGACACAGCACTGGGCTGAGGCCCACCAGAGGAGCTTGCAAAAGCATATGCTATAGTGGAGAAGTTGTGTGTACCGGATGCAAAACCCGTATTGCACTGCTGCGCAAAATCCAAAGCGCAGGGGAGGACTCAGGTGACCTAGGCCACCATGTATCATAATAAAAGATGTGCACGTTTACCTGAAGCCAGTGCAGGGGGGGTAAAGCTTTTCTGGGTGATTCATGACCTGAGAGTCACCCAGTCGCATTTTGAGGTAGGCTCCCACCCATGTCCATTTCTAACGCTTTGGGGATTTCTATGGTAAACGCTGTTATTCAAGCCCGACACGGTTCAGGTTCTCTACTGCAGTTGTGCGGTTCTGCACTTTTTGTGTGCAGGAGTCATTAAGCCGGGCGAGGATGTTGAGATTGTTGGCCTTCGCGAGGCGATTAAGAGCACAGTCACTGGTGTGGAGATGTTTAAGAGGAGCCTTATCCAGGTTTGTATTTTGCCAGCTACGTTGTATAACCACTTATCCATGCGATAAGCGTTTTTGTTGTGTTCCTATTTTTGTCCTTTGTACTGGATGTTATCAAAGATGTATACCTGGGACATCTGTCCACCGGTCCTCTCGTGGTATCGAGACTAGGCCCGTAATTTAGTCGTACTACCTGTGGTGCAATGGTATAGGGAGCCCAGATTGGGTTCTGCTGCAGGGGAACTGGCATATGTCCAAATCTTGCCGACGATGTCGCAGATCTGAGGGGGTTTCCTGGGGTCGGATGCTACATCCTTCTATGCTTGGCAAACCACGGTCCATACCAAGAAGCCCAGCAGGGCATCATAGCTGCAATCTTCATATGGGCTTGACCCTATCCATCCCTTGTGCGATGCGACATACAGGGGCAGGCGGGTGACAACGTGGGCCTGCTCATCCGCGGTATAAAGCGTGAGGACGTGTCCCGGGGCCAGGTGGTGTGCAAGGTCGGCAGCTTGAAGACGTACAAGGTGCACATGGGGTGGGAATGCTGCTATTGTTGCTGGGGGGGCCCCAGCATGCAGGGTACTTTTTGGGATCACAGAACGTTCCAGCCAAAGATAGGTGGATGTGCTTGGAGAGAATATACATCGCGGTCGCGTTTTTTTGTTCTTGTCACCACGCTACGATTTATGGGTGCGCAGCGCTTCGAGGCGGAGGTGTATGCACTGACAAAGGAGGAAGGCGGTCGCCACACGCCATTCACGAGCAAGTACAAGCCGCAGTTTTTCATCCGCACGGCCGATGTATCTGGTAAGTGCTTTCGCCCTCCGTGTTTTGTGGGCAGGGTTTTCACCTCAATTGCACAGATCAAATACCACTATGATGGCTGATCTGCAGGTCAAATTATGCTTCCTGAAGGCATCGACATGGTAATGCCTGGGGATAACTTTCGGGCAACCATCCAGCTGTCAGCACCCACGGCGCTCGAGGTATGTACGAAAAGGCTTAGGCAAATGCGGGTATCCTTCTAAGCTGCTTTTACTTTCACGGTGACCAAAAAGGCAACGATTTCCTGCTTCAGGCACTCTTATGCTGTTTCCTCCTCAGGTTGGCCTACGCTTTGCCATTCGGGACTCAGGCAAGACCGTTGGTGCTGGTGTCGTCGCCAAAGTCATTAGCTAATGGGATTGGCAGCCGCCATCAGTGTTCCTAGCATGACCTTCTTGGATTTTCTCTATGCTTCGTATGAATAAAGGAGTGAGCTGGTCGTATCATCTGGCGGAACTGGTCGACACCTACAGTAGCTCCAACCGGCATATTGGACTTTTCGTTCGTTTGCTTCTTGCGCTATGAGAGGCATATGTAAAATAAGCATTTACATTTGAATATTAATATCGTGCTGCTTTGCAGTGTGTTAGGTTACAGTTGATCCTAACAGATTACCGGTGCCAGATTCAGATAAATCTGTGGGCGAAGCTAGCTCCCTGACATATGAACTTTCACATCTCGCCCCGCTTTAAATTGCGTCTGAAAACTATTCTATTTCTCTCTCGATAAGACCAAGGGAATAAAAATATGTGGGCGAAGATAGCTTTCCGCGCTCCATGGCTTTGACTTGCCCTCGCTAGCGCAGCCTGACTAGGGGCAGGCAGCTATGGTGGAGCACGCTTCAAGGAGCTGGATCCCAATGCAAAGCCGGGGCCAACCGCGTTGGTGGAAGGATGGGTTGTCTTCATTACAGGCGTTAATGAGGAGGCTCAAGAAGATAATCACGAGGCGTTTGCTGAGTTTGGGGACGTCAAGAACATTTACTTGAACCTGGACCGGCAGGCTGTCTTCGTGAAGGGCTATGCGCTTGTGGAGTATAAAACGCAAAAGCCCATAGCGAGCTGTTGTAATAACGATGAGAAGACCGTACACAGCGTTGCTCCCTCACAATCGGTCCCCAGGCCGACCCTGGCAACGATCCAGAGCTTCTTTCTCTTACTTCTCCTCCGTCTCACACGTGTATGATACGTCACCTCGTCTCAAATTGAACGTTAGCACGTCAATGCATCGGGACCCGAAAGAAATACCTTCAAAGTTGCGTCGATGATGTTTCTAATAAATAGACTACAAACGGCCCACCCGCGTCATTGTATTTCAGCTTTATGTTATTCGATAGGCTGGCTTTGGCGAGCCTCGAAGGAGCTGTGGTACCGGACAAACGCTGACCGTTAGAGCACGGGGGCGCCTCGAACTGCCAAATCGATGGGTTGGCGTCGTTCGTAACTGGATCTAGGCCTAACGCCTTCCGATTCTCATACATAGCACGGAAGAAAGTGCAAGCCGCGCAGCTGCAAAGTCCAGTTGACGTGCGCCGGTGTCTGGCCAGTAAACAAGAACACTCAACCAACAGCATGGTCGCATGCACATACCGCGTTTGCGACGACCCATGCAGCATTTTCGCGAGCGGCGGCGGAATATGGATACTTACAACAGCGATGCCACGCAAATCCTGCTACATGGTGATGTAGGCGCCACTGGCAACATGGCAAGCAAAACCTATCTGTGTGTGTGTGTTACATGGTTGGGGGTGCGTGACCCCATACCTGTAAAACTACCATAACATGTCACAACCATAATGTCACAACCCGACGTCCATATGACCCCTATTAGCCCTACACCGAAATTAGCGCGACCAGTAACTAGAGTACTTTTTGATTTAACTGAACGAAAAGATCGTAACGTGCGTCGCAAAATAATTGGAGTCAAGCGACGCTCAGCCACGGTCAACGTCTTTACACCTGGCAGGAAAACTCCAGGACCTAAGCAGCTAGAGGAGCACATTGCACAGAGCTGCAGGCCATTCCTGGATGGATGCATATCAACAATCAAAGCGGAATTCCAGAGCCTATTGGCAGGGCATGTTGACAGATGCCAGCAGACTAGCGATGACATGAAGCATCGCATTAACGACCTGAGAAGCCTAGTCGAAGAGCAGGCAGAGGTTGTTAAAAGCCTTCAGGAGCGGAATGCTGTGTTGCGACAGGAGCTTGATGCCACGGTGGGTGAGCGTAGGCTCACGACGCAACGCTTAAAGGAGTTAAATGAGCGTATTGAAGCCCTCGAGACCGAGCGAAGCACGGCACGAAGTGAGCCAATCATTACGTGAAGCCAATCGGCGGACGCAAAGGCCCTTGATAGGCGGATGGAGGCCCTGGAAAAGCGGCTCGCCGAGCACGCCGCAAGCGGGCCAAGGGAACAAGCGGTGCACTGCAGAGAAATGACTGAGAACGTGGACAGCGTTACTGCCCGTGTTGCCACGCTCGAGGAGCGTTTCAATGACTGGGAGCGCACGCGCACAGCCCCGGCAGATGGTGCACGATGTACTGAAGCCACGGGGGGGCGTCGCATGGGCCCCAAAGCAGCGCCGCCTGCAAAGCAAGACCAACAAGATCCCCGGGAAGAACTCCATAAGGAGCAGCAAGAACGGCCGAAGCAGCAGCAGCCAAAACAGCAACCAAGACCTAACAGAGCCGTCGCTGATACCACCACCTCCAAAGCCCCAAAGGTGACGGCGATCACTACCAGACCACATGAGGTGGCCGCAAGCTGCAGAGGGTTTGGCATGACAGCAGGCGCCCCTGCTCCCAGGCCCCCCAAAGCACTGGCTGAGACTACCAGCAGCACCGATGGACATATAGACCGGGGTGCACTGGTTATCGACGGACTACCAGCTACTTGGACGCAGGAGGAAGTGATCCAGAAACTGCAACTGCGCTTGCAGCAGCTTACGAGCATGAAGGTCGCGTTCTTAGATTGCACCGTCGAGGCACACCCGAACGTCGCTGCGCGCAGCAGCAAGCGGACAACCCAGCGGGTTCGAATCACGACAACCCCAGCGGCATATTATGCCCTGTACTCATTACGGAAGCAGCTGGGCCTTAATGCGGAGGAAGGAGCGGATGAGTCGTTCCCGGCTGTGAGAGTGTCACTGGCGCTCACAGCACTTGGCGAATCGTACAAGAAAGGGTACCAGGACGTATTTCGGCACCTAGTCGATAGTAAGAGGGCCCCTTCATGGCGGGGTACTCACCTCATGGCGCTTACTGAGCCAGACAGCGGTGTCTGGGCGAAAATAGACATCCGCAAAATGGCTGCAGAGCTGAGGCAGGCAGCTAAGTAGGGAGCACGCCGGGGGGGTAATAGCATCCGTTTCCTTATTTGGAATATCCACGCCTTCTCGGCAGGCAAGTTTGACCAAATTAAGGCTATTCGTGGATTGCTCAATCATGATGTTATCATCCTTACAGAGGCGAAGGCGCCCGTTAATCGCACTCGTGCCAAGGAGCAACTAGTATTGCAGGGTTATAGCCACCTTGCATGTACTAGAGCACCGCGCACAGGCTCTCGAAGGTCAGGCGGTGTATCTGTGTTTGTGCGTGATGAGCTGGCCCCCTGCGTGAGAGAAGTGGGCTTAACGAATACACCCGTTGGGGTGGAGATCGTCTGGTTGCGATTCCATAGCGTTCTCCCTGGAGGGCGGGCGCTCCTACTGGGGGCTGGTTACTGCTCACCCCAGGGGTCCAGCGTTTATAGCAGCACGGATGGTAGTGGCCTGGCGTATAGCGAGGTCCCCGACGCTGTATTTGGAAGCATTACTGGCGAGCTAGATAGACTGCGGTGCATGGGTGATGAGGTGCTTATCACAGGTGATTTCAATGCCCGTACAGCAGCTATTCTAGACTTGCCCGGAGTAAATGGAATAGGGGCACACTCCCTCGTCGGCGTTCCCCGTAAAAATAGAGATAGTGGGCTGAATTGTTTTGGCCGCCGATTGGCACAAATGTGTCTTGACACAGGGCTAGCCATTGTCAATGGGCGGGCACCTGGTGATGTGCCCGGGGGCTTCACTTACTCCAACTCTACTGAGGGTCACAGTTCTATTGATCTGTGCCTTGCATCTTACGGGCTCTTCGAGCAGATTAACACTCTCAAAGTCCTTAGATCTTACTTATGGGGAGAGTCTAATGTGCTGAGTGATCATCACCCGCTTATCCTTCGCCTGCATGCCGTTTTGAGGCCAGGGGCTGCACGGGGTCGGAAGCCTCACCTAGCACGTGAACGGATCCCTATTTTTGATATTTCACGCAAGGGCCGCTTCACTGAGCTTTTTCGTGAACCAGATGGCATTATTACAGAGACCATCAACTCTCTCAAGGAAAAGCTTGTAGAAGGGGCACCCTGTGACGAATGACCTGCGCACCCTTATCAATAAGTGTGCTAGAGAGACGTTCGGCGGTGCACGGGGGATGGAAAAGTCTGTGAAGCGTGACTGGTGGAACGAGGACTGTGCAGCTGCGTGGAATGATATGATGAGTTTCCGTAAGGAGGTCAGGGACCCCGTCTCAGGCAAGCTGCCCGACCTACATAGGACTACCTGGAAGGCCAAGCACCGTGCCTTTAAGAAGGCTAGGAAGGCCGCTATTCAGGAGTTTGAAATGGAAGATATGCGGAGGAGGATTAAGGACGCCCGGTTCAACCCACGCGGATTGGGGGAAAACCACCTCCGTGGTTCCCCCACCTGCGTGGGGGAAAACCACCTCCTTGCGGGATCTCAGATATTAATGCTTTTGCCGAGCATTTTTCCAAGGTGCTTAATGGTACAGGAGTGTTAGCGCGTAATATAAGCAAGAACCGAAAGTCACAGGACGGATTCGCTCCGCCAAGGTCTGGGCTCTTGTCTAAGAAAGAGTAATTAAACTCTGTCTCTTTGTTAATATATAAATATATTAAGCTTCCATCCCAGGCTCCCTCCCGAGTATATATAATACTCGTTGCTTAGGAGGCCGCAACGACTTCTGTCGTAGAGTGTCCCTTTGGACCACCTGACGGCTGGTTAGACCGGGGTGTCTGTTCGATTAGGGTAGGAACCCTGAAAGAGTGTCAATCCTTAATTAGGAAACACTTACTAATCTTAAAGTATTCATAGACTGTTCATAGATCAGTCTTAATCAAATCACGTCTTCATCGCTTTGCGATTTGGCTCTGTAACGCTATAAGGCGCTACAACAAGGAGAGACGAGGCAATGCCGCAATGAGGGTATTCAGTTTAGATGGCTGGACGAGGACCAGGTGACGCACAGACGGGAATTAGCTGCTTGGCTTAACAAGGATTTTACGGAGGATGAAATTGCTAGTGGCCTTAAGGCTATGCGCAACAATAAGTCCGCGGGCCTGGAGGGAACCCCGGCCGAGTATTATAAGTACGCTATCAGGGAAACTGAAGGGCAGCAACCCGTGCTTGTATTGGCGCCTTACTTAACGGTGCTATTCAACCGCATATACGGAGCTGAATACCCGAGGGAATTCACGACTAGCACCCTGTCCCCCGTATTCAAAAAAGGGGACGTGTCTTGCTGTGACAATTACCGGGGAATTGCAGTTGGGGGTCCCCTGAGCAAACTTTATGCCAATATCATAGGGAGGCGATTAAATAATTACTGTGAGGGCAATAGGCTACGTGCCGTTAGCCAGGCTGGATGTAGGCATGGTTTTGGCACCGAGCATCACTTGTTTACATTAAGGCATCTTATCTTGAAGCACACTGTGGCCGGAGCCAGGCCGCTTAATAACATGCAAATTGACTTTAGTAAGGCGTTCGACTCCGTTGACCATGAGACACTTTGGGATTTCCTAATGTCGTATGGGCTACACGGGCGCATCCTCGATTCTTTAAAGGCTAGCTATGCTGACGTGAAGTTTCGGGTCAAGTTAGGAAATAAGTTGGGACCTGAATTCAAGGTGGGGCGTGGTGTTAAGCAAGGGTGTCCCCTTAGCGTAACCCTTTTTGGACTCTTCATAGAAGTATTCGCTCATTATATTGATGCCCATGATGCTAATTGCCGTGTATGCCTCCCCAGCCGATGGAGCACCCTTCGTGAGCAGAGTGTTAGCCTGGCGGGCGGTGATCTCACTAACCTACTTTTCGTTGACGATGTGTCACTGGTAGCGACAGGGCACGATAGAGCTGAATGCCTTCTGGGGCTACTCGAAGCCTACTGCAAAGCGACGGGTATGGCCGCGAATGCCGCCAAGTGCGAGGTCCTCATTTTTGGGGGTGCTACGCGTGAGCGGAAGCGGCTTGTTGAAGCTGAGTACCGGTTAGGTGGGGCGGGGTTGCGGGTGCTGACCGGCAACGAGACGGCACGTTATCTCGGGTTGCACTATGGCCCAGGAGTGCAGTTCTCAGCATGTACCAAGCAACTACTCACAGCAGGGAGGCGGGCCACATTTGGGCTCAGCACCCTGTGTCGTGATAAGAAAATTACCACCCCCAAGCTATGTATGTCTCTCTACAATACACTAGTTGTACCGGTGTTTTCTTACGGAGCGCAAGTTTGGGGACCTGACTTCATTAATGTGAATTTTGAAGGTGCTATGGCTAATCCCATGGTCCAGGAACAACGTGCTTACATGCGAACCGTAGTTGGGTCGGGGAGCCCGACTATGGTTTCCCTATATCGCGAGCTGTCACAGAGGCCACTCCAGTTCCATTGGACCAATCTTGTACTTAGGTTTTGGAACTCTGTGGTTAAGAGGCCGGGAACGTTGTGTCACCGGGCATTTGTCGCTGACCTGGAGTTGGCACTTGGGGGCGCCACTGAGTGTTGGGCAAGCAAGGTACTAGCCTTTCTTACTAGCTTAGGAGTGGAGCCCCCCACTAATACGCGCGGTAATGATCTTATATCGTACTACACCACCCTTAAATTGCCAGTCGAGAGCATTCTTAAGGTTTTTGCCAAGCGGCTTGATGCTCGGTGGGAGTGTCCGAATACCTTGGGTGACCCCCGCGTCTTCCCCATAGGAATTACCGGAGCCAAGGCGTGTCGCTATATGAACTGGATGGGAGCTGCCCCGTCAAGGGGTGCGCGTCTTGATTGGCTGGAGCACACTAAAGGGACCATGCCCCAGCGACTTCATCATGTGCTCATGCGTTTTCAGTTAGGCTGTTGGGAGTTAGAGGTTAATAGACCTAATGGGCGTGAGCGCACCGCGCGTACCTGCAGGCTTTGTGACTGTGGAGCGGTTGAAGATGAGTTGCATGTTTTCGAAGAATGTCCCGCTTACAAGAGCATACGGGCTAAGTATGATGGTGACCTAGTCCTTACGGGGCGCAGCATGCGCACCACTATGCCCAACGGCATACTCCAGGCCGGTTCCGGCCCGGTTCCGACCTAACGGGTCCAGTTAACGAGATGGGTAACCGGTCGGTAGGATTACCGGGCGAACCGTTATCCGTTAACCGTCCCCAGTAATCGGTAACCGATGTCGGTAACCTGGCATGAGCAAAAATGCATTTCTGATTGCAACCAGTTTCTTTGTGACAATGCCCATTGTCACAAGGTTCATGCCCACGTGTCACACCCCGACAAGCTTGAGGAGGTTAAGGCAATGTGAATGCCGGGTGACAGGGGTGACAGTCTTGTGCAGGCACATTTGGAGACTAGTTTACACTGAGATTGGGGTGATGTTGGATTAGAATACTTGCAGTTCATGAAATTGAGGAAATGTGTTGCATAGGCATATCCAAACGTTTCAGAGGGACGTTGTTTCGCCCGTAACAAACTTGTTACGGGCGAAACAAACTGGATTTCCACAGTCCCACCACTCAAAGAGCTCCCCACACCATCGCAAAGTCCCTTTTTTATTACAGACACATGTAACAAGTTGTCATAGCTTGAGATTGTCGATATATGACTGCTGGATTGTGACCAGGCCATCTCCTTACATGTCTTGCTGCACCAGCATGAGCAGTGATCCCTTCTGTTCAAAAATTTCAGGCAACATCGCAATGAGGCAAAACATTGTGCCGAATCTGCCGTACAAAGAGTGTTCAAAGCTTCACGCTACTAACGGACGAATACATAAGCATTCATTTACCTTGAAAGAATAAAGGAATTCTATAGCTTCATACAAATTCGCCTATCAGCAACTCTCCCTGGTCGTTCAAAAGTTGCTTGAAGATTCTACGATCTCCATACTATGAAGGAGCGCTTCTTCATTTCTTCATTTTATCTGAACCTTAACGTATCCTTCCAACACAATGTCCATGGACAACGGTACTGAGGTCGGCGCGTACGAGTTTGACCGGAACGCCCTGGACAACATCGCCCGTCGGCGACAAGATCGCCCACGCCTTGTTCATGCTTATGGGCGACAATTGAAATGCCGGGACAATGACTTATTAGGGACAATGACACGGCATTTCACGCCCTCAAAGCGGGAACAAACGCTAAAACTTAACACATACATAGTTCTAAATCTTCTACTAAAATTTTCCTGCAGCGTTAGAGGCCTTTAATTAATATTGGCGAACGATGCTTCCCGCGCTACCGGGATACTCCCTATGGCATAAACATGCCG